AGCAGGAGTTGTCAATGTTAAGAAGTGACAGAGACGTACCATGTCATCTGATGTGCGATGTCACACGCGCACATACCACCCCACATGCTCACACACATGTCGTCATCTCACATGCTGACATGGCATCTCACATGCTGACACGTCATCTCACATGCTGACATGGCATCTCACATGCTGAGGAGGTCAGTGGGGTTGCTGATAGCTGGCGACACGGTGCCAGTGAACTGGTTGGACGAGAGGTCGCTGCAGGTGGGAGGGGCGCCCATAGGGAAAGGGAGAGGGATGGAATGCGGTGGTGGGGAGTAAATGTGGGCAGGGAGAGGTGCGGAGGTGAGGAGTGGAGCGAGGACAGGGAGAGGGGTGCACGCGAGGAGGGAGGCAATTGTGGAAAAGGGGAGAAGCAAGGAGTGTGAAAATGAACATCTTCACCTTGCTCTACCACCCATGCATTGCACCCACGCAAGAATAATGGACAGGAGAGCGAGGGCCCACAGAGAAAGGCGCACAAAGCAGCGCAAGGGCATACAGCAGAGTGAGTAAGGTGAGTTGCGAAATGAAGGCTGGAATGGACCCCGTGAGGAGGTTGCCTGACATGTCCCTGGAAGGGAGGGGAGAGAGAGCACAGGGACACGGTGGGGGGAAACACGGAGAGTATGGGCGGTGATAGGAGAAGCACTACCATACAGAGGGGCTTGGGCTGTGATAGGCGAGACAGAGAGGGAATGGGGTTGGGAGGGGAGGGGGTTAAGGAAAGCTGGGGTGTGAGGCACGAGAGTGAGCGACAACGGGAGGGATATGCATAGTGCGTAGACAGGTGGGAAGGGCAAGGCAATGCAGAGGTGGCAGGTAAGAAGGGCAGGAGAAAAGAGATGTGATAAGGTGAGGGCAACGCACAGCTGGTGGAGGTAGGTGAGGGTGGAGAGGGAGGGGTCGAGCGCTCCTGAGAATCTGTTGTGCGAGTAATTGCTGGGGAGGATGGAGGAGGGGAGCCGTGCCGAGGGAAGGAGGGGGGAAAGAGGGAAGGGGGGATGGTGTTGGGTGGGGGGGTAGGGAGACAGGGTGATGGAATGGATTGTGCTGGATGGATGGCAGGCATGGGTTTGTGGGGAGAGAATGGTTGCGTGTGAGGGGGTGAGGGTACCGAGATGATGGGAAGGAATGGTGCTAGGTGTTGTAAAGCTCAGCCGCTAACCACTGAGCTCAAAGGGCTTGTTTCACAGCCGGTGAGCGCGCCCATAACCCCCCAGGCTATCCTCGCCTGTGACCCTTTCCCAGGACCTTAAGGCCGATCTCAGTGTTCCTCCAACAGTAGGTGCGACAGGGGTGCATACGGGCACAAAAGGGAGCACAGCGGTGCACAGGGGTGCATACGGGCACAAAAGGGAGCACAGTGGTGCACAGGGTTGCATACGGGCACAAAAGGGAGCACAGCGGTGCACAGGGGTGCATACGGGCACAAAAGGGAGCACAGCGTAGCTCCCGTCGAAATAGTGGAAGATCTGGGCGTTCTGAAGCAGGAGCTCCAGCTCGAAGCTCCAGGTGTAAAAGTCTCTGCCGTCAAAACAGGTACTTGTCTTTATTTTTGATATGCTGAGGAACCTTGATTGAGCGGAGAGAATTGCCTCTTCACTGGGACGGGGAGTCTTGGGGGTTGAGCCATTGGTGTCGAGGGAGAAAGTTTGCGGGGTGGCGTTCTGGCCAGTCGGGGCCGGTTGAGAGGGTTGCGAGGATGTTCCCGCATCGCCATTCCGCAATGTTTGGAGCCCTTGCTCCAAGCTGGTGAGTCGCTGAAGAAGTTGTGCGAGAACTTCGGAGTTGATTGTCGTCGTGTTCTCGCTTGTCGCAGCCGGGTTTGGTTGCGCTTCAGCCGTCAGATTGGTCTGACCACCAGATCCTCCGGCCATCTTCACTCGTGAGCGTGTGCCGGACGCCACTTTCCGAATGTCGCAATTTTCGGGAGTGGCAGTGCGAAGGATTCCTGAGCCGCTCTCATACCATGCTGCGATCAGAGATTGATCGTAGGCCGGGATCTACCCAGGAAGGTTCGCACGCAGTGAGAATAGTTGGTGGGCCCTTGATCTCAATAGCAGAGTGAATGTAAATGCTTGAGATGATAAAAACATGCAAACAAGGTCATATAAATAAGAGTACAAGGGAATGCGAACAGACCTATCTAGCCATGTACTCTAAGGGGTACATTCCCTTATTCAAATTCACTCCCAACCGTGCGGCGCGTACAGTTTCGTAACTGTTCCCGCCAAAACCATCCTGCCTGCAGCTGCCCGATGCCGTCTGCTTCCGACGGTCCAGATGCGTTCCAACTGTCCGTCGCTTCGAGTCAATTCCAACCGTCTGACGGTTCGCGTTCATTCTCGTTACTGCGTGCTTCTCTTTGCTGCGGTGAGGAGTGCACAGTAATATCAAATATTACTATTCGTAACAGTATATATAACATACATTTACAACACATTGTTGCCCTCGCAGCTCTCACTTCCTGATCCTGAACGCGGGTCCCATAAACTCCAGGATCTAACCTGCAGATGGCGTGACATAAGTTAGGCTAATTCCCACACTGATATAAGCACAAAGTTGTTACCAATTTGAGAACTACAGAGCTGATTGATCTACAGGGGTCTAAAACAAGGGTTAAAGCCCGGGGTCAGCATGGTAAATTATCAAGTTATGTGGATTTGAAATAGGCTGTATGCGAGATCCGCGAAACCTATTTCGGCACTCTGCCTTTGGTGAGAACACCTTTCCTCCGCAAACAGAAGAGTGTTTCGCACTCACCAGACCTGCGAATACTACCAACCCAAAGCGACCAATTTGTCGCACACATCCTCTCTTGCGTCGGGCATGCAGAGTGTGGCTCCACCAGAAATCCCCTCACCACAAAATCAGCTGAAGTCTAACGGGACATAGAACAACAGAGCAATGCACGTGCTGCGTCTCAACGCCACCTACTCAACGCCACAACAGAAATGCGTTAAGGACGTTCCAAGCCCCAGATTACTAGCCAGCCGACCATCGCAGGAGCTGGCAACAACAACGTCTAGGAACGTGCAAGCGCGATCGCACTTACAGGGAAAAAGTGAGGACAGTCTGGCGACAATTGGTAGCTAGGCCCAACGAGTAATAGGGAGTCTATTGACGTCGTTGTGACTAGACAGGAGGGAACAAAGCGACCGTGGTTCGGCTCTCGCACCGAGCGCCGAGCAGCACCCGCTCGTCGCATTTGGTGGCTCGCGTTCTGTGCGACGCGCCCGCATTTCAGATGAGCGGAGCGCGCATACCAGGCGCGCGGAGCCCGCATTTCAAGCGAGCGTAGCCCGCTTTTCAGGCGAGCAGAGCCCGCATACCAGGCGCGCGGAGCCCGCATACAAGGCGCGCGGAGCCCGCATACAAGGCGCGCGGAGCCCACTTTCCAGCCGCGCGAAGCCCGCATTCCAGGCGAGAGGGAGCCCGCATACCAGCCGCGCGGAGCCCGCATTTCAAGCGAGCGTAGCCCGCATGTCAGGCGAGCAGAGCCCGCATTCCAGGCGAGCGGAACCCTCATACAAGGCGCGCGGAGCCCGCATTCCAGGCGAGCGGAGCCCGCATACCAGCCGCGCGAAGCCCGCATTCCAGGCGAGCGGAGCCCGCATACCAGCCGCGCGAAGCCCGCATTCCAGGCGAGAGGGAGCCCGCATACCTGTCAGAATCCCAGCCACTAACCACTGGGATAAAAGGGCTTGTTTATATAGCGGGTGAGTGCGCCCATAACCCCCCAGGCCGACGTGCCTGTAACCCTTCCCTAGGATCATCGGGGATCTCCAGTGGACCTCTGACACCCCCCCGCACTGGGATGCCCGAAGTGCACACACCGGGAATCGAACCCGAGACCTTCGCTCTGATACCATGTCAGAATCCCAGCCACTAACCACTGGGATAAAAGGGCTTGTTTATATAGCGGGTGAGTGCGCCCATAACCCCCCAGGCCGACGTGCCTGTAACCCTTCCCTAGGATCATCGGGGATCTCCAGTGGACCTCTGACACCCCCCCGCACTGGGATGCCCGAAGTGCACACACCGGGAATCGAACCCGAGACCTTCGCTCTGATACCATGTCAGAATCCCAGCCACTAACCACTGGGATAAAAGGGCTTGTTTATATAGCGGGTGAGTGCGCCCATAACCCCCCAGGCCGACGTGCCTGTAACCCTTCCCTAGGATCATCGGGGATCTCCAGTGGACCTCTGACACCCCCCCGCACTGGGATGCCCGAAGTGCACACACCGGGAATCGAACCCGAGACCTTCGCTCTGATACCATGTCAGAATCCCAGCCACTAACCACTGGGATAAAAGGGCTTGTTTATATAGCGGGTGAGTGCGCCCATAACCCCCCAGGCCGCCGTGCCTGTAACCCTTCCCTAGGATCATCGGGGATCTCCAGTGGACCTCTGACAATACCAGCCGCGCGGAGCCCGCATTCCAGGCGAGAGGGAGCCTTCATACCAGCCGCGCGGAGCCCGCATTCCAGGCGCGCGGAGCCCGCATACCAGCCGCGCAGAGCCCGCGTTCCAGGCGAGAGGGAGCCCGCATACCAACCGCGCGGAGCCCGCGTTCCAGGCGAAGAGCACAGTGCTGCTGCTCTCGGCGACCACCACGCGCACAACTAAAGCGGATACTGCGCACAAGTGTGGGGAGCAAGGGGCAGCACACGCCTCTGAAAGCTTGTGTTACACTGACACCTAAGAGAAAGGCTCGCCAAAAACTCTGGAATTCAGTGTCATGCCAAAAACGACTCTGGAAACCAGTGTACTCTAAAACGAAAAAAAAGCCCTGGTTGGAAGACTTCACAATATTGTCATGTCTCGCTAAAGCAGGGCAACATGTTGCTACTGTGGAGCCTGTACACTACAGTAATTATCTAAAGCTGTTCAATCACCATAACCCGCTACTTCCATTCTCCAAGCCAAACATAACCATCTCCTCCTCCTTCCCCCCTCAGCTACCTCATCATATCTTGGTGTGAGTAGGGATGATCACCCGATCCACCCCATGGGCAATGAACCAGCGCCCCACGTACAGCCCCGGGATGCGAATGGTGGTCCACTGGTCCACCTTCAAGTACGGCCCCCTAGCAAACGACACAGCGCTGTTGTTTCCCATCGGCGTCATCTTGAAGAGCGGCTGCCTCAGCTGAGTTCCTATCGCCGTCCGCAGCTTCACCTGCCTCATCTGCGGGAGGGTCATTCGGCGCCGCAGGATGTGGAACGCCGTTATGTTGTACAGTGTGGGGACGCTGCTGCTCTTAGCGGGGATTCTCTTAGCGAGGGCTTCTGCCTGCACGTTGTTGGGGATGAGGATGGACGCGTCTCGCAGTGCCGACAGGTCGTACTTGGAATTGACTGCGAGGGGAAGTGGGGGGACGGGGAGAGGGGGAGACGGAGAGGGGAGAAGGAAAGGCGGTGAATGGAGTTCACTACAGGGGCAGGGCGGGGAGGGCGGCGGGGAAGGGGCGGGTGGGGGGAACGGAGGGGGGTGGAGAGGGGAAAAGAGGTGAGAAAGAAAAAGCAGTGAGTGATGTCGGAAAAAGGAGAAGCTGGGGTGTTGTGTGGGGCCGGAAGGGATGGTCAGATTGGTGCGGTCATGCGGGGAACAAACACGGAAAGGCATATCTCGTTAGGAAGGAAACAGTATTGATAAAAAGCGGTAGTCGAAGGTAGTTGACCACGTAGTCGCTGGTGCAAGGTCTTACGTGCGAAGTTAATGTATTTGGTGGCGTCCTGCGCGTATCGCGAGTACTGCGGGTACCGCTTCACGATGCTCTTCGCCATGCTCTGCAGTTCCGCGCGCAGCTGCGCCTTCGTCGGCGGAGGAGGCTGCGCGCGGCAGCTTCTCGGAACGCACGCCGCTGCCACGCACATGACTGCTACGAGGAGCAATCCACCTCCGAATCGCGCCGCCATTTCCGGTAATCGCTTCGAGCGTCTGACACGTATCTAGGCCTTGCGGATGGTTTCACCCGGATCGCTGAAATAGATGGTGTGGGCTGGTTGGGATTCTGATGGACCTTACTATAAAAGTTGGTCACTGAAAACGCCGTTGATTGTCGTGCTGAAAGCTAGATCGTCGTCGTATTGGAATGCGGCTTGGGTGTTGTGATGTATTTGGGTCTAAACTAAGTCGTATAAATAAGCAAACGAGTGGTATGGCATGTTGGCCGGATCGCTCCTGGCCAGATACACCCTCGCAGTTCGCCCGTTCCATGTAACGCCCACAGCTGCACGAACACGCGAGGAAGCTGAGTCGCCGCCAACAGCCGTGCCGCGGCGATATGCCGAGGAAACCGCGGCAATATGCGAAGTAACCGCTGAGCCAATGCCGCCACACAGCAGCCGTGCCGCGCCGATTCGGCGCGGAATAGCATGTTGGATAACGCGAAAGCGCATGGCGCGATTCTGACTGGAAGAGACGCGAACCGCCCTTTTTCATAAGACACGACTGGTGTGGGATGAAAACACGCCCGCGAGCAGGTGTGCAAGTTCCAAGACACCAGCAGCGGCGGTTGTGCGTGTGAAAGTTCCAACACTGCGGTTCAGAAGATTTGAAAACGTTTCAAAACGTTTTCCAGCCACAGTAAACGGTTCTGTAGGGTTTCAAGAGCAAACGAATGCTTTTGCACTGCTATGATGAACCTCCGTTGCGTTTGAAGCGTGTGCGACGACGCCAGTGCGACCAGGGCTGTGAGATGACGCGTGTGCGACGACTTCACTTCGACCCAGTCATTCGGTGCCACGAGATGCGGGGAAGGTGCAGGGGATTGGTGGATATGGTGTTGGGTGTACTCTCCGGTACTATCGTTTCATTATTTACATAGCTATCTATATCCTTACATTGTGTACCTGCATGCATCCTTAAAATATATATCGATATCTGCTATCTGGTTAGGAAACATTAAAATAAAATCGAAGGTGATATCTGTGCCAGCTATCTGGTTAGGAAACATTAAAAAAAAATCGAAGGTGATATCTGTGCCATTCATTGGTTCATCGAGCATTATATTTAGAAGGCCAAGAAGGGAGGTTTTGTAAGACACCACCTCTGTTCAAACATAAGTAGATCTTGCTATTTGCTATGAAGCCCTGCGTCACCGCTTTGAACCACCTGTAGATGGATGAGCTGTAAATGAATCCTTCAAAAGGCAAAACAGTTGGCCCGATCAAGGATCGAACTCACGGCCTTAGGATGGAGAGAGGATGAGGGAGGGGATAGAAAATGGGATTGGAATGGGGAACGGGAAAGGTTGCAATGATACAGAGAGATGGTGGCTATGCATACTCGGACGGCGATTAGAAGCAGAGGGGTAGTAGTAGAGAGAGGCCAGTGGGACAGCCCATGAGTTGACAGACGGATAGTTCGGAAAGGTGGGTGAGAGAAAGGCAATGGGTGATGGGGTGGGGGGAAGAGAAGCGGCGCTGTGAAAGCATTAGTTATGAATGCAGTGAGATTTTGGGGACGGGGTTACTGGGAGGAGATGCAGGGGCCAGAGGGAAATGCGAGTGAGGTGGGTGTGACAGAAGGGGTGAAAGATGAGAAAGGGGGAGGAAGAAGGGAATGATGTTGTGTACTATCAATCCCCGTCACTCCCACGTTGCCACCTTGGATAACACTAGGGCAGGCTTTTGCAGGGCATGCAATACAACAAGAGCACAGAGTGACATGAACATGACACGGGCTCGAGTCATAAGTGACCTGAAATTAGTGCGACCTGAAAATAGAATGACCTGAGACTGACCTGAGAATTACCTGAGAACTACCTGAAAATGACTTAATGACCCGAGAATGACCCGAGAATGACCCGAGAATGACCCGAGAATGACCCGAGAATGACCCGAGAATGACCCGAGAATGACCCGAGAATGACCCGAGAATGACCCGAGAATGACCCGAGAATGACCCGAGAATGACCCGAGAATGACCCGAGAATGACCCGAGAATGACCCGAGAATGACCCGAGAATGACCCGAGACTGACCAGAGACTGACCAGAGACTGACCAGAGACTGACCAGAGACTGACCAGAGACTGACTTGAGACTGACTTGAGACTGACTTGAGACTGACCAGAGACTGACTTGAGACTGACTTGAGACTCACCAGAGACTCACCAGAGACTCACCAGAGACTGACCAGAGACTGACCAGAGACTGACCAACGACTGACCAGAGACTGACCAGAGACTGACCAGAGACTGACCAGAGACTGACCAGAGACTGACCAGAGACTGACCAGAGACTGACTTGAGACTGACTTGAGACTGACTTGAGACTGACCAGAGACTGACCAGAGACTGACCAGAGACTGACCAGAGACTGACCAGAGACTGACCAGAGACTGACCAGAGACTGACCAGAGACTGACCAGAGACTGACCAGAGACTGACCAGAGACTGACTTGAGACTGACCAGAGACTGACCAGAGACTGACCCGAGAATTACCCGAGAATGACCCGAGAATGACCCGAGAATGACCCGAGAATGACCCGAGAATGACCCGAGAATGACCTGAGACTGACCCGAGAATGACCTGAGACTGAGCTGTGGGTGATCAGAGGAGGGAAGGCAGCACCGCCATGATGGGAAGGAGAGACCAGGGTTTCGGGCAGGCGAGCGTCAAGAGAAGGTGTATGAGCATTCTCACAAGCGACACAGATGTAGCCAGATTTCAAGTCCCTCAAGTTCCAAATTGTAGGGCCTTGAAATCTTGGTTACAGGATTGGTTGGTGAGAGCACGGTACCACAACATCAGGAGCTCACCTACAAGCTGATTACGGCATCTTTTGAGGCGCCTCAAAAGTCAACAACAGGAGCTCACCTACAAGCTGAGTACGGCAGTCCATGAGGGGTCACGGGACTGAGGGACTGCGCCCTTGTCCATGTGGGCCCCAGTCTAGTGCGACTTGGCAGCCCTGTGCAAAATTGGGAGCTCACCTACTAGGTGAAGGGAAGGGTAAGGGAATTGGGGTAAAGGGAGGGGGAGGGGTAAGTGAAATAAGTGGGATTAAGGGTAAGCGCAGGGGGTAGTGAAGAGAGAGGGGGGAGGGGGGGAAGGGGGTGGGGGGTAAGGGTAACGGAGGGGATAAGGTAAGAATTTAAACGGTGGCCTTGCAATCAGTGCGAGTGGGTGTGGGAAACAATCCAGAGCAGAACATTGCAGATAAGAAGTCATAAACGAGGGGAGGAGTGGAAAGTAAGATATACTTGAATAAAGAGGTGGTGTATGGGCAGGAACGAGAAGGTTAGGCAAGGTAATGTTGCGGATCCTAGGAGAATTCCTCCAAGCATCCCTGTTGCTTCTGCCAGCCCCATCAGCAGTCCCTTAAGCAGCCTCTCACCCATCCTTCACCAGTCCCTGGGAGACTCTCACACACCCCACGAAACCACAGCTACCCCTCACCGTTTCTCACACACACGCCTCACTATGGCAATATCTGGCTTGTTAACAGCACCACGGCCTTCACTCGTAATGCCAAACGCACCCTTTGTTTGGGCCCACGATATCAGGGTAAAACATTCTGATTACCCTAACTTCAGGATGGTGTTTTTATTTTGCCCTGGAATTTCAGAATGACGCTGAAATTTACCCTGTGACGTCAGGATGATTCATGTGTTTTGCCCTGAAATTTCAGAATGGCAGTGAAATTTTGCCCTGAAGCGTTAGGGTGAATGTAGAGGGATGCCCTGACTCGTGGGAAGGGGAGAAGGGGTGGAGGGGGGGAGAGGGGGAGAGGGGAGGAAGAAGGCTGGGGTGTGTGTGTGCTAGTTTTGTCCCCGCCCCTCCCCCTCCAAAGTTCTTGCTCAGCCAGTTGTAGGGAAACCATTAAACAACCTGCTCCTCTCGTGCCTTCCCCTCCACTCTAGTGTCTTGCATTTTTTTGCCCTGAAACATCCAGATGTATTTTTTAGTGGAGCCCTGGAATTTCAGAATGGCCAGGGAATTTTGTCCTGAAAAATCAGGGCATTTTGAAAAAGTTTTCAAAAGTTGCCCTGAGGGCTCAGGGAGCCCTAAATCCTAGCACAGGCCCTGGGCCTTCGTGGCCTCCATCTGCGTGATCGATTTAGATTTTCCTGAACCTGTAGATTCGCTATCGGTCGCAGCAACCAGTAGCAAAAGGCGCATCCTCTGCAGCATTTGCTCGTACGATCCGGCTACTAAAGCCGCGGTTGCGTCTTTCCAGTCACTCTGCAGAGGCTTCGATTCTCAATCACATTCAATATTCACTCGTAGGTCCGAATCTGAAAGGCCTGTTCGTTTTCGTTCGCTATACCGTCCACGATGTGCCGCAGAGCAGAGGCAGCAGGCGGTGGTGAGCAGGCCTCTTATCTGATTACGATGTCCACGATGTGCCGCAGAGCAGAGGCAGCAGGCGGTGGTGAGCAGGCCTCTTATCTGATTACGATGTCCACGATGTGCCGCAGAGCAGAGGCAGCAGGCGGTGGTGAGCAGGCCTCTTATCTGATTACGATGTCCACGATGTGCCGCAGAGGCAGCAGGCGGTGCTGAGCATCTGTTTATCTGAGCAGAGAAGCAGGTGCGGAGCTGGGGCAGGAAGAGGGAAAGGGGGAAAGAGGTTAAGGGGTTGTGCTGTGCAATTGATAGGCGGTGCTGAGAATCCATTTATCTGATTACTACTCCACCCTCTTAACACCTTTCTGTCATGCTCGTTCCTCCACCCATCACTCTCCAGTCGACCTCTGCAAACGTGCTCCTTCTCCCCCCCCTCCCTCATGCCCATCCCCCCTCTCCATTACCTTCTGCCTCCTGCCAGACCCCCTCCAGCCATAACAGTCTCTGCCTCAACGGTCCTGAGCAGGCAGCGTGCCGTGTGAGTGTATGGGAGATGGGCAAGAGGCAAGAGGCAAGAGGCAAGAGGCAAGAGGCATGATATGGGCAGAAGGTGGGAGTCAT